CGTGTGAAGAAATCGGTGTCCTTCAGTTCGGATACGAGTTTCGAAGAGAAACGAGCACCTTATAGAAGAGCCGCCGTTCACGAGGTCAAGGCCTATCACAAAGGTGTCCTGCAAGGTACGCGTATTTCCTCTCTCTCCTCTCTTATTTGTCCTCGCATACCAATTTCCTTCCAATACCAATTTCCAACCGAATGGTTGCCCGTTTTCGCAATTCTTACCGAGTTCGTCATAGAGTCTGCGCATTACTCGTAACGGTTATTGTTTTCTTTGGAAATTCGTCAAGGAAAATATGCATATCCTCACAATGGACCGAACCGAGGAAACGTAGAAAATAGAAGTCAAACAATACGACGTGCTAAAAGACACAGCGAATAGAAGGATCGTTTGATTATCATTACACGTACTACGTAAAATGCTAAAAATGACTCTCCATTTAACGCTGATTTCGCACAGACGTTACCGGCACTCTTTACTATAGTTCATTACAGAAATAAATACGTCCGTCATAGTTGTAAACTATCGAGGTAACGCCTACCCGACAGCCTATTTATTATTTCTTCTATTTCCATGCCTTGCGAAACGCTGTTTGCAAAAATTCGCCTAGCAAATATGAAGCGTTACGTTTCTTTTGTAGACCATAGTACGCGCGAGGTGAACATTGTCACAAAAGTGCCGTCCTCGTGGGATACGACCTCCGAGGGCCCAGCGGCCCTCCTGAGGGCAGCCAGAGATGCAGACGAAATTGTCCTTAACGAAATCGCAGTTCAGGTGCGAAAATTTGGATTCGGGGACGTAGACATCAATATGGTTGATAGTTGCGGCAGGGTAAGTCACTATCGATCGCGTATGAAAAAGAAAAAAGAAGAAAATACGATGATAAGTTCCATGGTTCATATTTCACTTGCGAATATAAACGAGGAAAATTTGCTAGGAATAATACGAGATAAACGATAATAATGATGATATCCGACAAGTGATACCCGACTAAGCACTTTTTTACATACGATATAAGATACTTGGGTTTCTGTCAACGTTCGCGTCGTCGAATTTCGACTCCCGGCCGTAGCAATGTGTTTACAGAAAGACGATAAAAGTTTGGAAGCTCCTTATCTCGTGTGTATTCTTCTCGAGTATCGCGAGGTAACGGTTTGAAGGACACGGGAGAAATAATTTCTCTACTGTACGATATATACCGTATTACGAAAAAGCGACTGTCATCGATCGCAGGGGAACAAATTAAGAGTACTTTTAAATAAATCATATTATTCCTCGTAATCTCACGACCTAGCTGCATTGGGTAACGCGTCCGGATAAGATGCCTTGGACTATAATTGAAATTAAATTGTCGTTTGTACGTTCGGTACGAAATATTCGCCTCGAGGGGACACCAAACGAGTAACCAGAAAAGATATTTAAAAGTTTAATCACAAAATTGCCTTTGAAACCCCGTTGACCAAGGTATCTAATCTCTTTCTAACTTGTTGGAACAAAATTAAACGCGATCAACCGGAAATTATCATTTCTAATAATCAAACCGAGATTTCAGATGCGTCTGCGCGTATACACGGTAGACGAGTTTACAGTCCAACGAGTTAACGCGGTTGCTACGTTAACGGGAATCTACCAAAAAATTGGTATTGCTTAAAAAGATATTCTTCGATTCGCGTAGGATAAACAAATCTGCCTTCGCGAACTGAAAAAGCGTCGAACGTTCTTTACGCGAAAACAAGTGCAAGTGTTGTTCTGACGTGTGTTTGCTATGATGACGCACGTGAAGTAATAGCGTTCGAGCTGTCGTGTCAACGCGAGTAGTTGCTTAATAAATTGATTCTTACCGCACCAGTCCATTGTGCATGTTTTCGAGGCACAGAACGAGAAGCAAGGCGGTTGCTGGACATTCGCGTTTGTATTTATTTCCATCCCTCTTCCGGGATGAACAGTTTCGCAATCCTTTCTCCTAACGTTCGAAAATAACGTTCCTAAGCACTGGTCGTCTAACAGTTGTAAGGAAATAACGAAAGCGTCTATTGGCAGTCTATTGGCACTGTAGACAGAGAGGTAAAGAGAAGTAAAAGAACGAAAGGTAACAGAACGTTCGGCGTCTGCGGTTTAACACGGAGAAGCAAATAACTGTTCCATGGAAAAAGCAGTTTATGCAATCAGCGTGCTTTTCGAGCGAATCCTCGAATAAACCAACATTTAGATTGTTTATTTGCCATGCCAGACCGCCATCAGCTACATGGCTGGAAACGGTGCCCCGGGAATGCTGGAGTTAGCTCTCTCGTTCGAAAGGGTGGATCCGAATATTCCCGACAACGAAGGCAACACGCCTCTACATTTCGCCGCCCAGGCCGGTAAGTGGTCGCGTTATGCTTTAAAAGAGAAAACGAAGAGAAAGTGCTCGCAAATATCGGATTTTCCTTGCTTCTTGTCCGACACCCACGAGACTCTTGCTCGGCAACGAATAATCGAACGAACAGTTCGGTAAAGGATTTCTTCCACGAACGCGAGAAGATCGATACGAAAATAAAATCTGCTGCGCTAAAATCTTTCAAGGACAGCCATTTCTGACTCCTGCAGTCGTATCGTTCGTGTAATCGAAAGAATGCGGCCACGTGGTGGGCATAAATTTCATAAACACAACACTTCCCGCAACGTTAGAAAACCTCTGCTACTATATCGGATACATAATACATGCATAGGCGGACGTCAAATTTTACACTCGCGATGCCGTAAGGGTTCCACCGCGTCATCCAAGCCAAAAATAACCGATGTTAGAGTACTTGAAACGCGCGTGGTTTGCAGTGACGTACGTCGACGAAAAGACGTTTCAAGCCAAAACATGGTTGAACGTTGCGTTAGTCGAAATATGCGAACTCTTGACTCCTCGAAGGATGTAAATTCATTGGTACACGATTTAACCACCGTCTCATTCCACCCGGTTCAGGGCAAACGGAATGTTTGAACATACTGCTTCAAAGATGTCCAGACATCGAGGTGGACGCCAGGAACACATCGGGTTTTACTCCGTTGATGAAAGCGGCGCTTCAAGGAAGAACAAAATGCGCCAAAATTTTACTATTCGCCGGTAAGCCAAATTGTCTTTTGCCTCGTTTCCGGGAAAACGATAAATCCGGGAATATCGGACAGCGAAATTGAAATTTCAGGCGCCAATCCAACGTTAAGAGATCACGGGAGAGGGCTAAGGGCGGAACAATGGGCTAGATTTTGTGGAAGGTACGTGTGCGCCGAAGTAATCGAAAGGTTCGCCAGGCATCGACTCCTCGAAAGGTCAACCTCTTGTCGGTGGGGTAGCGAACCCGAACTGGCGGCAAAAGTACTACAAGGAAAGGTAATAAACCTGTTGGTAATAGAAGCCACGCGATAACGCGAGAATCCAGAAATAACAGCGAAAAGTATTTATCGCAGCTAATGCCCATTCCGACCACACCTCTATCGCCACCATCCACGGGACTCAGATCAAAGATAAGAAAAGTTTTTCGTACATCGTCCGGACCAGATCGAAATTTTTCCTTGGTTTCGCAATTAACCAGCGCTGCCCTTTGTGCAAGCAGTCCCGCACTACCGAAATCTAGCGAAGTTCCTCCAGTGGTTAAAAGTCTTCTGCGACCTCTCAGTGTTCCCCAATTAAGGTAACGATTTCAGTTTCTACCAATTGCATTCGCCTAATTCCGAATAACAGACTTTATCCTTGGAATTCTTCATTTTTCAGAGTGACGCTAGTTGCACCGCAGGATATACTTGAACAATCAAAGGACAAGCATAGCTCAAATTCCATAGAAAAGATCGAGAATACGGTAGCGAAGTCATCGCGATCGAAGAAGAAAAACAAATAAATCGACAAGTCTCATTCGCGAATCGGCAGTGTTTCTTTTGTTCTCGAAAAAGAAATTCGAGAATCTTCGATCTCCTTCGACTCAATCACTCGTTATCCGGCTCAGCTATAGTTCCTATCGATCGACGAAATTTTTGTTCCTTTCAAACTTACTATCGTTTTTAAAAATCTACGCGCATTCTCGTTTCTATACGACCAAAATTGTGCATTTTTTTTTCAACACTATAAACCTGTTTACAGAATTCAGAGTCAAAAAGAAGGATTGTTATCCTTCGTGGATAATTTATTCTGCTGTACGTTAGTAACCATTACCTTAAACTGTTTTCAATGTAAATGGTTTTAGTAAGTGTCGTATACGGGTGAAACGGTAAAATTTATTTTTGGTTCGTGGTCAATGTAAACCGTTTCAGATATTAGGAAGATAAACAAAATTCTATAGATAAAAATCACGAAAGTAAAGAATCGGTGATATAACTTCAAAACAATTCCAAATAATTATCCGTTAAATTATTTCATCCGTGAAAGATTGGCTCTATAAATTTTCTAGATTTACGACACATCAACTTGTTGGAAAGCGAACTGACATTTTTTAATTGCACAAAGACCACCAAACAAACTTATAAATAAACGTCTTCGTCCAGACTTCGTGTTATTTGTTTCTAAGATACTGTTTCTCCTTTAAAGACGGAAACGATCGTTCTTATCGTGATAGATAAAAGTCAGACGCCGAATCCATACATAAGCAAATACGTATGTGCTTATGTCATTGGTATTATGAGAAGAGAACGTGCCGACAACTACTACAAACCATGGAAATATATTTTCGTTATACTTATGTTTATAAAAACAATTTTTTGTATAAATATTAATATTTGTGTTCAATGCGAGGACGCATAGTGCCAAATTTTAAGTACCAGTAATACGCTCGACAAAAATGTATACCGCTATAACAAGAAAGAACGAGGTAGAATGTATGTTTTACAATACATTTTTGTAAGATCAATGAAAACAGTTTCTCTCCGTAGCAGCCTTTACTTATCGTTAATTTATCGAACATCAAACTATGCGTCACTTTTACAGAAAACGTCAACTAACTTAAAACGTATTTAATTGCCAAATGAAATACCCTATCATGAAGTCACTGTCCGCAACTGTGTCAATTATCGGATTTTCTATTTCGCCGTTGCCTACGATTCTTTGTCTTTGAAAGAATTTCGTATGCTTGTTGTATTTCCATAAATTTCTCCTGAGCCTGTCTCCTTTCTTCTTCGCTGCCTTTTATCTTGTCGGGGTGATTATCCCTCGACAGTGCTCTCCAACGCGCCGTAACTTCAGTTTGCGTGGCCGTTTGAGAAAGGCCCAAAACCTACGTAAGAAATTTTATTACATAAATAAATATAGAATTCATATATAATAATGAGCTACAATGCTTACTTTGTAAGCGTTTATTTCGCCCCGCGGATCTGTGAGATCTACCAGTTGTGCCCATGTCGCCCAGAAACTTTGATGCATCGCTTGATTCCACATTACCTCGAGGCTTGCCTATAAAATTTCACATTTCGTAGAACATTAGTTGTTTCAATGAAATGTATATTACATAATTTTAATTAACCTTAAGATCAAGCCATATGGGAGATGTTAAGAAGTGTTGGACAGCATCGGATAGTTTAATTTCTTCGCCCTCGCTGTCGGTAATAACAGCATTGAAGTACAAGTACGATCCTAATAAAGACACATAAATCGCGACAACTAAACCAAGATAAAAGATTCTTCGAAAGAGGGATCTTTTCTTCTTTGGCTTCAATCTCCATTGCTTGCTGAACGTATCGAAGCTTAAACTAGCAACAACGACCATCAAAAATACCCACGTGCTGTCATCTCCGATAAAGGTTAATGTTGGATACAATAAATATGCCGAACACAGAGCAATCCATATGGAACCTTGCTCCCTGCCAATATTTCCGACCGTCCAAACACCTAAATAAATACAATTGTTAGAGATACAAAGAATATCCTACACGGAAGTAAATGGAAACGAAGAAAATAAATATTTCATGAATAAAATCCTTGAGAAATTATTAATTACAAATATAATATGAAACTTATATATATAAATATATTTTACTAGGTCATGCTACACTACTTGAAACATATTTTTAAAAATATTCGCGCTTTAGCAACCTACATTTATTTCAGCGTACTTAATCTTATCTAATAATTATATTCAATGCACAAGCGTACTGTTAATAATCATAAAAGATAAGTTTAACAAAGCTAAAGTGCATGTATCTAATAGCGAATTTTGTAATATTTTTAGTTTTTACCTAAAGCAATGACTAAAGGTGTTAGGATTAATAAATGCCTAAAATTAATTCCAAATAGTTCATCCTCTGGAATGGCGTTACGAAATATTTCGGCCCAAAAAAATGCGACCGCATTTTCGGTAACGAATCGCAATGATGAAAATGGTGGCTGAAATCAAATGACAAATTTCGTTAACACTTCGCTTATACGACCGATTCTTATTCTTCGACGTTTAACGAGAAGAATGTCAGCTTGTTGCGTGTTAAAATATCGCATAATTAATTGGGGTATACCTATTTTGCATAAAAAGTATTATGTATATATACAATTAATTGCGGTTTTGTTTGTTTATTCGGATTTTTAAAATCAATTAGTGATCTTTTTTTTTTTTTTTTAACATACCTTGCGATTGGTTCTAACTTTCCGTTTAAAATCATTCAGAAAGTTGGGATCATCGTTCGCATCTTTCACGTACGTGGGTATCCTGTAGATATCCCGAAGCCATCCAAGACCAAAGTATCCACCAAAAGTACTGAAATGTACAAAAGCATGGAGGTCCCGTTCCAAGTATACGTGGTGTATTCCAACTAGACCTCCGAACCACCACAATACGTAAGCCCAAAATGTCGATTTTTTCGGCGAGCTTTTACTCAAACTCTCGGAATGACCATTTTTCAACTGCATTTTTATTTCTTCCATGGTACTCGGATTAATTGTGCTTCGAGTTACACATTCTTCATTTTAACAATTGATTGGCGATATATTTATTTGATATTTTTTATTTCGTTGAAATTGATTAAGTAAAACAGCTAGGTACACATAGTCGAGGCGTGCAACACCACCGTCTTCCAGTTTCGCGAACTGCACTGGTAACTTCTCTATACTATTTATGAATTCTCGACAGCTACCATGCAGTTTTTTTATTGTTTTCACACCGAACAATAATAAATTATTATCTGCTACCTTATTTATGTAATTAATCTTCCTTGAATAACACAAGTGCATTTGTCATCGTTTCTGATCGTTACCGCGAGTGGTTTCACCATGCCGGTTAGTACCATTCGTAGTTCAACGCTCTGTCAGGTATAACGGTATATTTGCAGGTCCGTAGCAATGAAATCCTCGAACATGGATCCTACAAAGAGGAACCTAAATTAACAATCAAAATAAATGTCCAATTCAAATGATAAACATATTAATTACTAATCGACGATTTATTTTTGTAAAATATTATTTAGCTTTTGTTACTGCGCATAAATTAAATGACAGAAAAATTTACACGACAAATCTATTTAGTCGATATCTATAAAATGTACAACTTAAATAAACAAAAGTTTAATATATCTTCTTTATTAATATGTTTTCAATGAATATGATATACATTCCAAGAATATATTTTTATTCATGCTACGAATTCACAACACTAAATGCGTATATTGCGTCTAAATGCGTATATGCGCCTAAATGCGTATATTGTGTCTAAATGCGCATATAACGTTTAAATACGCATATAGTGTATAAATGCGTAGTATATCCGTGTAAGTGCGTAGTATATGCGTATAAGTGCGTAGTACATGGGTATAAATGCGTAAATATTAAAATGCCTTAGACGGCAACTATATTTTATTTTTTGTACTAGGATAAGTGTATAGGACGTTCGTAACCAGAATATATTAGATAGAATATACGTACATGTACGTTGGTAATAAGTTAGGTAGGAAGTTTATATAACAAAACACTGTTTAGCATAAAGTTGGTATTCCTTTAAATTACGCTAATAGGTTATGAGTCCAATATTTGTACAATAGTCTAAATTATATTAAAAGAACAATAAGAGCATATTTCTCCATCATGCGGTTAAATAATACAAACTTCTAAATTTGAAGGTGTAAGGTCGAATTAAACATCGCCAAATCCAGACGAAAAATGGATAAAGGTTGATCAGCACTTCTTAGAAATAGAAAAAATGATACTAATTAGGGCAAATCTCCCAAATAAATATTGGAGAGTAGCAATCTGCACAGCAAATTATCTGCATTATAGAACAATTATTAAAGCAGCTGATGTAATGCTGTATGAAAGATGACATAAAAACAAACAGTTAGTGTAACACTTGTTTGTGTTCGGATTAAAAGTATGCGTGTATGTAGCCGAAATTCGAAGGAGAAAGCTAAATCAAAAAGTAAAAGGGATAATATTTGTTGAGTATGCACAAAATGTCAAGGAATATTGTCTACTGAATATCATCACTGACAAAGTAGTAGTAGGCAAAGATATAAAATTCTTCAATGAAGATTATGAATTTGAAGAATTTGTTATCCCAAAGAGACAAGACCAGGTTAATACAGATGTCATCATTGATGATATATGTAGAAGAAAGAGCAGACTGAAGTATAGAAAGAAGAAAGTGAAAGAGAAAATGAAGTTGTAGTCTTAAAAGAATTTCAGATGCATGACTCGACTCAACAGAGATGTCAAATGTTTGTTAAGAAGCAAAATGGTAGGAGTATTGCTGCTGAGATATTCCAATTATATGAATGTACAAAACAATGAGTAATAAAATCTGTGAATCGGAAGCATATGAAAAAACAACGTTGCCAAAGAACAGTGAATAATTCATGGAGGCAATGAGAGATGAAATGAAACATTGACAGTTGCATGAAAATACTAATTGTGCATAAAATATTAGAAAAGGACATTTATAAAGCACAGTCAAAAGGTTTTGAGAAAAGAGACAAGGAATGAGGTCTGTAAACTGAATAAATATATAAATATATCAAAGTTAGGATATGATATAAAAAATTAAATGAATTAATTAAATAAAATTATATACAAAGTGAGGTACATTTATGTTTACATAAAAAGAATATTCATAATGATACAATTCATATTAATGTGTATGTAGACATTATTGTAGGAAACACAAGAATTATGTATGTAACAGAGATATTTAAAAAACAAAAATAACATTTTGTTTTAAGAGATTTAGATGACATTAATTACTATAAGCCAATAAAGGAAGGAAGGGATGAAAATGATGGGTGAACTTATTAATATCTGGTTCAAAGAATTTTTAAACAACTCCTGCCAATAAGTAGTCAACCTGAGTTTCAGAGAGATTAGCAAAATTCTTTTGATTCTACTACATTGGATTCTATCTATACGTGTGCACCCATGAGATAACAAGGATAAATTAGTTAGGACATGTGTGTAAGTTGATAATAAGTTACATAAGATAAGTTTGAGTCACAGACAAAGATTGTCTTCCCTTGACAGATTGTGATCTGCCTTAATTGCGAACAGTCCAAGAAGAAGCACATACTGTTGGAGAAACCAAGAACGGTGTTGTGATGCAGCGTGACATCTTGGTCCACACAATGGCAAGAGCATATTAGAGCAAACCGGAGAAGACCAGAAGAAAGCTACTGTATTTTCTAGCTCCTCCATGGTGCATTGATAATGTCCACCGTGGAGATTTCAACCAGTTTATCATAAAATTATTATTCCTTTATATCAAGCTAATAAAAGATATACCAAAATAGAATATTAAACACCTTTGATCCTTTACATACAACATATATATTTTAAAAATTTCTTTCTTTACAATGTACAATGTAAATAAAAAAATCTGTAAAAAGGTAGAAACATAAATTATAAGTACATGTAAAGTAAATATCCCAATTTCTAATTATTTAAATGTTTTCTGGTTATGAAAGAAGTGTAAACAATTTTTTTTTAGTCGAATTCAAAAGTAATGGGTTATTATCTTAATAATACATAAATGGATAAAAAATTTAAAAAAAAAAGTAACAGTGTACATATTTTTGCTTACTATTTGTACCAATGTTAGATTATGCTACAGCAACATAGGCCCATATTTCTACTAGTTTATTAAATTTTCTGCTCATACGAAGCGTAATTATACTTAAAGATAAGTAAGATATTTGTGGATAGGTTTTATAAAATAGAGTAAATTAAATTTTGAGGTTATATTGCCATAATAGAAACACGGACTTCACGGTAATTTTCTCGTACTTAAATATACTCACCTATTTTCTATTTATAATAATAGAAAAAATAGACACACTCAAGTGGGAAACACAAGATGTCATGTTTTTAAAGCAAAGCGAATCAATAATGAGCATTTCAAAAACAATTACTAACTTCAAATACTGAAATCAACTAACATGAAGTTGCTTAGCGTAGCTAATTATGAAGTGATTAAAGTTACTAGTAAAGATGTGAATTTTGTTGATTCATAATTAGAAATTAGGACACTTCATTTATTCCTATCTTACCCCTGATCTAAATTCTTTTTTACTACAAATTCCATTTTTAAATGAATAAACATGATCATAATATTGGAGTAAAAGTCCCTAGAAGCAATGATTTCTTCTGATGCTAATAACTTCATGCAATCAAATAATATTTATCTTAAATCACATTAAACTGTAATTTCTCAGATATCATACATGTAATACATTATGTACTATACAAGAAAAACTAAGTAAACTATGAACCATTTTCGACCAGCTTTCCCTAATTTTGACAAAAAGTTAAATCATTTTCTCTAAGTTTTATTTACGTTACAAAATGTTTGGTGTATCTCTTCGTACCGAATAATGTGAAAATATCAACGGAAATAGAATCATGCTTTATTATACAATTTTATATTTCAAAACATAGGGACAATTTAGATCAAAGTCTCCCCTTCCAAACGTAACATGGCGACGTGCACGTGTTCTCTACATTTCTCCATTGGAATCAATTGTCAAACGTGTGACAGATATATTTCGCGAGTCTCAGAAAATTCGTGATACTTCAGTATCATCTGGGATAACAGAATAATTTCTCTCGTAGAAAATGCATGGTAATGGAAGGAAGTTGTTCGACGAAAAAGAGCCACAAGGAGTGGCGTAGAATAGCGAAAAAGGAGCGTCGAAGACGCCTGCGTCGTAAAGTGGCCGCTCAACGAGAACTGGACGAGAAACAACTGAGGGCAGCACTTGAGAAAAGCGCGGAATATTTGAAGTGGCTTGAACAGTGTGAAGTTGAGGAGAGAGAAAAAGAAGCTCAGGAAAAAGAAGAGAACAATCAACGAGAAAGATTATGGTTGGAGGAAGAAGTTAGTTCACAAAAAAAAATTATTAAACTATTATTTACACAATATTAACGACCTTCCTTTTACAAGTGCATACTCTATTTGTCTTTATTTATGTATTTTTCCCCCTTAAATTTAAGAAAGCTATTAGCCAACGATTGAGTAATACAATGCACATGTTGTCATTGTCGAAATTACTTTGTTTTTATGATCGATTGCATACATTCGATTAATTATAGAATTATCCACAAAAATTTTGTTATAACCTTAAAAATAATGTTAAAATGTGGATACCAAAACCTGTTAGTTATTACATAATCCTTGTAAATTAAATGTTCATATTAATTTTAACAGAAAATATACACGTAATGTTTTACATTATTCGTAATTTTCTTAGGAAAAGGCCCAAGAAGAATGGCAAATTTTGCAGGAGAAAAAGCAAAAAGCTCGACAGTTACAACTCGAACAGGAAGCGAAAATCCGACAAGAATTTGAAGTGAAACAAGAAATAATTCGCAAAAAACAAGAAGAAGAGAAACGTAGAAGGGAAGAGGACATTAGAAGACGAGAACAGCTACTGAAAGAGATTGACGACTATATCGATAGTGGAATCAAAACTCCGGAAGCTTTGCGTGAAGTTATCGATAGCCAACCGGGTAAAGAACTTTGTCCCTTTTTTACAAAGACAGGTGCTTGTAGGTAAGCAAAACATGTTCCATTCGAACTTTATTAAACTATAAAAATAAATATGACACTCAGGAAGTTATATATTTTACATATTTACAGATACGGTGATACTTGTTCGAGAAATCATCGCAGGGTATGTTTAAGTAAAGTGATACTAGTACCTGGTTTTTATACACATTTTTCCTTGGAGAAAAATTCAGCCGAGTATGACACAGATATCGCTCTCGAATTTGAAAGTTCGGAAACTCGACAACATTTTCGTGAATTTTACAAGGATGTCGTTCCGGAATTGGAGTCATTTGGACGAATAAAAACTTTGAAATACTGTTGTAATACCGAAGTTCACTTACGGGGAAATCTATATGTCGAATATTACGCTGAAAGAGATGCTGCCAGGGCTTTGAGAAGATTAAAAGGTCGATGGTATGCTGGTCGGCAACTCAATTGCGAGTTTGTTAATTTGAAATCATGGAGAAGTGCTGTATGCGGAATGTCAAAATGTCCGAAAGGGAGGGCGTGCAATTTCTTACACACTTTTAAAAATCCGCACGACGAGTACGATATTAAAAGTCCACCGAGATGGGCGAAACAACTATCTTCGTCCATTCAAGAAGTTACGATTACTAAAAAAGTTGAACATAGGTAATTTTAACAATTACGACCCTATATTGTATTGCTATTATATGTTATTGATGTTTTATCTGTGTACTTTTTATATTTAGAAGTAAATCAAAGTGGGAGGATATTAGTGACGTAGAGGATAGTAAGAATTGGAGATGGTCCGAATCTCCCGAACCCGAGATAGACCACCGTTCAAGAAATATTGAAAAACGCCGTCATCATTCCAGTGAGAGGGATCCTCGACAAAAATTGACGCGCGATAAACGGTACGAGCAATCTGATAGAAATAAAACTATCGAAAACGACGAAACGCCGATCAAACGTCATCGGCCAAGTTCCAGAAAACATTTCGAAGAAAAGATTAAAGATGATGATATTTTGAATGGTCGTGAGTTCTCTAGGAAAAGATCGAAAAATTACCCAAGAAAAAGGGAAGAGGATAACAATTACGATATATCACCAAAACATTCTCGTAAAAGGTATTCGAGAAGTAGTGATCGAAGTTATCGTTCGAAGCTTCATAAATTTTCATGCAAATATTCTAAAAAAGAAAAAGAGGATGTCGAGAAAGGTAGATATAAATTAAAAAATCATAACGAACTGTGCGAAGATTCTTCGAAAAGAAAGTGTAGGAACACACCCGAAAAATCGAATACCGAAGAAACTGTCGATGCAACAAATTTATCTCGAATAAAATCTAAATGGGATAAAGAAAATTCAGAACAAATTGATTCTGACAGTACGCGATCTTCTGATTCTGATTTTTCTGGTACCATCGAAGATAAAAGTATCGAAACATCAGAAACGTCACGTGAATTTTATAAAAAACTGACCGACGATGAGTGGGCTACGACAGATTCTGAAAGCGAATCAAAAGTCAAGAAATAATATAATAGACGTTGAGTTTATGTAAATTTTTTGCAATCGTGATGTCGTTGAAAATCGTTGCAAAAAGTTGGAATGAAATTACTATAATTTAATACATAAGTACCTTTTCATATCAAAATATATTTAAAAATAAAATGTTTCATGTTTAATACAGTCCATTCTTCCTATCAGTCCTTTCCTCGATTGTAGAAAATAATTAAAACACTCTGAACAATTATTCTTGAATGAGATATTTCAAACAACATACCTTTCGCGTATCAATGTGCGTGTTTACAGTTTGATACCTTTTGATGGATTGATCGTGTATTTCTAAGTCATGGTTGCGTACTTACTATTATCAATTCAGAGAGTGCGTATATGTCAACTTATCAGATAACTTTTTCCAATTTCATTTAACGTCAAGAGGAACCTATTATCTCGCCACAATGTAATAAAGCAATCGGGAAGAGCATTTTATAAATCAGTATCGTACAAATGACTTGACCGTTCATCGAATTTATAAAACTGATCGAAGTTGTTTATCATTTGGAAAATTCAATATGATTTTCTTAAACCTTTTCTTGTTATTGTGTTTTACTTGTCGCCTTGGGCATGGCGTTGGGCTTCATGGGTTTCATTTTCGTGGCTTAGAAGAACCACGATCTTTGAACAAAGCAAATCCCGAAAATATAACCGAATCATGGATCGTACAGTATGTCGATCATTTCAATCCCCGGGACAATCGCACGTGGTCAATGGTACGTTACGGTGTTACATATATACTTAAGGTAACAAACTTACGCATATTTATATTTTCATGTCGGTAGCGATATCTTGAAAATTCAAGATTTTTTAAAAAAAATGGACCGATTTTGATCATGATCGGAGGAGAATGGGCAATAAATAGAGGTTTCTTGGAAGCTGGTTTAATGTACGAGATCGCCTCTTCTCATAACGCGCAAATGTATTATACCGAGCATCGATTTTACGGCAAAAGTAAACCAACTGAGTAAGGGATTCATTTCTTCTTCCACCGAAGAATTATATTTGTTTCAGCTTGTGATGCTTTATCAACTTTCTTATTACCTTTCGAATCGTTGAAACAATTTCAGAGATACAAGTTCAGAAAATTTGCAGTATCTAAGCGTAGATCAAGCACTGGAAGATATAGCGTATTTTATCAAAACAAAGAAAAGGCAAGAAAGGTTTAAGAATAGCACTGTCATTGTTTTTGGTGGATCTTATGCTGGAAGTGTTGCAACTTGGGCCAGGCTTAAATATCCTCATCTCATCCAGGGTGCACTGGCTAGTAGTGCTCCAGTTCTCGCTAAAGCTGATTTTTATGGCAAGGAATAAAATTATTTGTAATTCAAGTTAGCTTTCGTTGGAGAAATAAAAAACTTCTTCGTTTTTAGAATATTACGAAGTCGTGACCGAATCACTGCGTAAGTACAGCCAAAAATGTGTCGATGAAATTGAAGCTGCATTCGTTGAAGTCGAAGAATTATTAATCACTGAAGGTGGCCCGGAAAAATTGAAAAAATGGTTCAAGTGATTATCGTTTGTTAATTTGAAATCAATTATATCTAATACCATGTGTAATATTTGCTTAAATTGTACGTTTCAGCTTGTGCGACGTTCCAGTTGCAAGATATTTCGACGATGAGGGACATCTAGAGAACCTTTTAGCTGAGGTATAGTTTTACAAAAAATATCCTTCGTTGCACACTGAAACGGGGATTAGTAAGTTCTCGAAAATAATCGATGAACATCTGCAATTATAAAACTGTATAGCTACCCATTTGTTCTTGATTAGGAATTTGCTAGCATTGTTCAATACAATAAAGTGGAAAACGGTCAAACAAAAATCGCCGCTTGCTGTAAGAACATGACTGCTTCGTATTTAGGTAGTCCTCTTCAAAGATTGGCGCATTTGGTTTCAAGCAAAGATAAATGTTTGAAAAATAATTACAATAAGTTTGTCAAATTATATCAAAATCATACATGGGATGCTCAGCCTGATATAAGTACGTTGTTGTAAAAAGGCTGTGTGAATTATTTACATATCTTCATCGCAATTTTTACAAATCGTTATTTCCAGTGAGGCAATGGTACTACCAGACATGCACGGAATACGGTTATTACCAAACGTCGAATTCAAAGAATTCAATATTTGGAACGTTATTTCCATTACGATATTTTACAGATATTTGCCGCGATTTATACGGAAATTAGTACGTGTTTTCAAACTTTTTTTGGGTACTTGAAAAATTATTTCCTATTGAAATATGTCGCTAATTTTATGTTTCATTTTATAGTTATGATCGCATATTTTTGAACACCAGAATTGAAAGAACAAACATAATGTACGGTGGCATACGGCCAGATTTGAGAAACGTAATTTTTACCAACGGAGACGTTGATCCGTGGCATGCTTTATCTGTTCTTCAAGATCTAAATACACATTCACCTGCCATACTTATCAAAGGTAACGAAACGGGATGTAACTTGTTGCTAAAGTATAGAAAAAATTGTAAATTATCGATTAATCGATCAAACATTTCTTCCAGGATCTTCACACTGTCGTGATTTGTATAGCGATTCAGATACGGATGTTGAAGATCTTATTCAAGCTAGAGCTAAAGTACGCAAGATTATTGGAACCTGGATTTCTTCTTAAGTTCGATGCCGTATTCATCGTTAAAAAACAAAAGGGCATAAAATGAGTGTAAGAAAATATGAATTTATTTCCATTGATACAGTCTTATTTACAAGCAATCAAAACGAGATGACATACAACCTATAATTACTGCACGTAAACCAAAGTTTCGTCAAATACGTTTAAATCTGATATTATATTTAAGTATATAAAAATCGTCGATATTTATTTATCGTTACTTACTGAACTTTACGAGATTCATCGAGCACAAAAGATAACTGCGTCGATCGAGATCGAGATCGAAATTTCATTGCTTTTTCTTGTACACGAATATTATCTTATCAAAATTTATCTCTCACAATCTTACTACTAAAAATAATTCGATACAAGAAAAATATCAATTACTTGTTCTATCGATAGAGTAAATGTTGTTTAGAAAAATGTAATAATGCGCTGCAATCAATCGACTTCGAGTTTTCTGAAAGAACCGGTGATACCGTACATGGTGGAATCACTTGAGCCAATATCGGAACAACCAAAACCTTGTTTCAGCGCTGATACCGCACCTTCTCGAGCCTTTTCCGAATACAATTCCAAGGATACTCTCATTTTATCATGATTCAATAATTTCGGTGTCATTTCTAGCAATTCCTTTCTCCATAGTTCTATGTAATGAAAATTATTTTCCACGATAGATACGATTATTAAAATTAACATTTCGCTACATTTTACTCAACGGGATTAATACACCTAATTGCAAATATCGTTGACGAAATTTTCAACTCGACACTTACCGATCATTTCTTTCATAGGCATCGTACCACCGTACTCTTTAGGCAACATACTGGTGTCCATTTTATTATTGATTGCTTCTTCTAAACTGGTATAAATTTTAACTCGTTTCTTTATTTTTTCGGAAATTAGGGACATACCAAAGTCTAGAGCAAATTTCAACGAAGGGTGTGTATTAATTGCGTGAACTTCCTTATGCCGCATCGGTATAGTTCGCTGAAATCAAAGTTTCGTTTATTTATTATGTCAGATATCCAGTTTCTAGTAGCGCGTCATTTCGAAAACAGTTCGAAAATTGCATTACGACCATACGTAACACTACATAATCATTTTCAAACCGAAAATATCGTAGAATATTCAACGAAAGTGAAATAGCCGTGAAAGTTTGTTCCCGTATTCGTCCCCGTTGCAACACTTTGAAATTATGACATAAGAAGAGGTTTACGGGTATCATACCTCTCCGTTCTTAACGATACGAACAGCTTCTTTGGGAGTAAAGAGTGTCAAATGAGGGAAGCTGACACCAGCCCCATCGGCGAAATGAACGAAACCTCGTATTTGACTTTCCTCGTCTTCCATCAAACATTCGTATGTAATCGCATGGATTCTACACATGTCGGCATTCGTGTACTTATGGGGATCGAAAACACCTGAAAACACGCGTTCCACGCGTGAAGCGGAACGTACATATGACATATAAACGTGCATGCAATTACGGAGTACATAAGATCGTGCTATTCCTTTTCCTTCTATGGTGTAATCTCGTTTCGGTGTTATTAATAATCGTGGTAACGAAATGACACGTGTTACTTATATTCCTTCGAGAAACTGGAATCAACGTAATAAATAAAAGATAAAAATAAAATTGCATCGATCAACGGCTGTACACGTCTCGTCGCAATCGTTACTATTTTTCAAGGAGACATCGTGATAATATTTATAACGGAAAAAAGAGGAAGGTTGAAAATGATCATTATATGCTTGTTTCCAGATATTATCCACGTCGGAATATGTAATTAAGTTTCGCAAGAGCAATCACGGGAGACGTGGTTAAACCGAGATTACCTGGTCTAGCAATTACAACACGACGGCCTTTAGGGTCGCGTCCTGGCGCAGCGAACAGATATCTACGGAAACAAAAATTCTTTCACCATTACCATTATCGAAGCACGAAATCATATCTGTCTAATCTTACCCCAGGGACAATAGTTCTTCCATCGTTGGTTCCGTAATGTCTAAATTATTGAAAGCAGGATGATAAACTTGGCGTAGCAGCAAGTACCTCTCGATTGCCTCTTCCGCCATTGGGACATTGAATTTCTTGCATCTCAAGAATCTTAGTAAAAATTGCCCATCTATCGAACGAAAAGCGTGTCATTACTGTCTACGCGGCAATTTTCGCGATTTAACCGCATGACTACAAACGCTAATATTTAAAAATAACAAGCTGTTTTCTCACCAAGACGACAGTTTTGAATACGCGGATTCAATTTTATCCAATTACGAACTTGTTCGAGAGCTTGATCTCTGGTATTTTTATCTTCTCTGAGTTCCTCCTTGGCTAACTTCTGCGTTTCTTTCGATAACGTGCATTCGTAGTTATCTTCCTCGGTTACCCATTCGATCGCTCCCATCTTGTTCTCTTAATTTCTCTCGAATTATAGGCAGTAGGTAAGAGCAACTTGAAATTTTTGTTATCCAAAATATTGTCGATTGGTCGGAATTCTAAAAAATCATTTAGTTCCCATTACGAACGATCTATCGGTAGTTACTGTCCCTGTCTTACGCTTTTCAGAGGATATAACAGCGATAACTGCAGGTTTTACACGTGATATTCAAAGTAAGGTTCGTCCCGATCTTTTGCAGCGAAACGAGGTCAAATTCGCTTCCATTCGCCCTCTCGATCGTCAGCTGCACTCTCTTTAACGAACCGCTGACATAGTTTCCCGATATCGTTCAAAGTCACGGTGTGAATGAAAGTTATATCGCGATGGGAAAGAACACGCTCGAAATACTTTCTTTCGATCGCGCCGTTCCGTAATTTCGTAAGAACTTAGTTAATAGCAAGTTAAAGATCATTTTTCGTGACGTAACAATTTCGTCGCTTTATGATATAATGTTCGAGCAAGTACGAATACCGCACAGCATTACGTGTTCCATGATAGCAACATGTGCCCCTTGCAAGCGAGTGAGTGACTTGTTTCGCAATCACTTTCTCCGATTATGTAATCGACCAGGTTACGCGCCCATCTTTGTTCTCCGATTTTGTACGGCCGACTAACATCGTTCGATGATATTTCACTACTTGGCTATCCCTACGTTAAGTAATACCTTTCATGTATTTGCTTTCTAATGGTCCTTTTGATTCGCTACTTCAAACTGAATAATTTCTATAGTCGTTTCATGATTTCATAAATAACGATGTTCACTAATTACATCTGCCAAGCTTATTTTTTTAGGCTGCTAACTTTGATTGGAAGATCGTCGGGAACCGATTAGAAGCGAAGTGCAGCTTATTTTCGTTCTATCCTTTAACCGATTCAACACTTTGGAATGTGGAAATCAGGGAAAAAGACGCTAAATATGACAAAAAGAATAGGTTCGTTTCAATGTTTCTTCTTTTTTTTTTTTTTTTTTTTTTATTTTTGGAAGTTATTGTCTGCACGTCTTTGTTGTTGTCAAATTTCCTACTTTGCAAGGCAGATTTGTCGAACAAGATTCTTTCGCGAATAAAGTGTGTTATACGTTCAACCAACGTAATACTAATGGGTTTATCGAGCAACCAGGGAAATAAACCGTGCAACTATCTTCCGTGTAGAAAGTGCTACTTATCGTGTTATTACTACTCAAGTTCTTTCTCCGATTCCACTACCGTTCGCCCCGTAACTAGTAATACATTTTTGCCGGAAAGTATTACGTCAATTAGGCCGACAGGTCTGTTAACATCCTTCCTTTCATTCTCTCTTTCTCCTGAAATTACGTACTTAAGTTCCTTACGAATTCATAGAATTCAACTGCCGAAAGCTAAGAGAAATAAACTTGCGATTCCATCCAAAAGCTACAAAAGAAGTATAAACAGTTTAGAAGATGAAAAGTTTTGAAGTTTCCTGTGCGTATTCTGTATGCCATCATGCCGCGTTATTCACTATCGTTTCATCCTATTGATCAGATTCAATAACTATGAATTATCATTATATATATAGACTACGAATGTAGACTACGTCTACAGATGAGCTCTTTTACAAATTCAATGTCGCCAATTTGTTTGATGCCCTTGGCCTCTAGAATTTCTGCCCTCTAAATGCAAGGTCGACTTACAATTGCTGGTATTTAAAATTCTTGCGACATCGGTTCGATGAAGTACATCGAGAAAAACGATCGATGTGCCGCGGGACGTGATTAAAATTTGTTGCGTACTGAATGAATTATCATGCGAATAAGAAGTGTTCGAGATGTTGCTAAGAAACAAACTGATTTTACGAATATCTGAACCTGATATCTATAGAGCAAAAGTTGGAATATATCGAAAAAGTTTTCAATTTTGTAAAACTTAGCTACTAGAATGTAAATCGTACTGAAATATTCTGTTAATTTTAAATTTGGGCACCGTGACGATACAATTCGTACAATTTGCTTTAGAGATTTTTATTTCCAAGTATAAACCTATTAATTTCACAAAAATACGATTCAAATTTTAGATAGAACGACGCGTTGTCCAATCGTGAAAATTTTCAGCATTTTATCGTAAAGGAATAAATTATTGAATCAAAACAAACAAAAAAACTTATTCTTTAATTTACAAAATAGAAAAATATATGACATACCCGATTTGTAGTCGCGCAGGTGAACACTTGGAGGAGACTGTCTCCTCTTGACGGTCGACTGCTCTTTTATAATTTCCAGTTACACCTTTCTTCTACCTCCGCCTTGGAACTCTTGCGGTAACTTTTGCCGCCGAACTCGAGAGATAGAAACCCTTTCAGGAAAGTATTGCACCTTTATTTACACTCTTATTAATTGAATTTGATTAAGAATTCTGCCTGACGGAGAACGCGTATAAGCTATTCTGTGAATTTGCGATGAAGAGCGAACACCGAATGCGATGGTTTAAAAATTGCTCTTCTTTTATAGATAGGTCGCATAATCGTTCACTGAAATGATGCACGGTGGTCGTTAATTTCGTAACGACTCTTTCTTTTTCTACAACCAACCATAATTTTACAAAACATTCAAAAAATTGTGCTTTTGTCCAGAAATGAAAGTACCCGTGTTCTTTGTAACAATTCGCGCGATAAAATCTGTTGGCAATTCGTTTACGATGATTCTCCAATAAAACTAGAGGACGCATAAATCAGAGGTAAATTTATATAATTGTGAAACGACCATTTCGAGATTCGCTACATTTTTGGTCCGATTTAACGATAAGGAGAAAAAGGATGCACGAGAAATTATTACGAATGCGATGCTGGTATAAAATATACCTGTTGTGCGACATACTAGCAATTGCTTTTAAATTCAATCAAGCAGTTGTTTATTTCATACCGATGAGCTACGCGCGATAGTATCAATGTATAATGTTCAAAATCAAAATTCTGCAAGCGCATAATCACATCCTATTTTCTAATCACCACTATATTCCACGCAACTATTTCTATCTTACATCATCGATCTACGTAACAAGCAATTAAGGAAATTTCTTTTCTACTGGTCTCGGACTCGAATAAGTTTTGCGATAACATATCGGAGCTCGTTATTAAAAAATAATAACAGATTTTGCTTATATTAAATGGGGTAATACGTACATATAATTATAATTCAAATGAGATGATATCACATATTCGAAAAAGATATAGTATCGTGTATCGACATAATAATTATTACTAACGATTACATTCAAACTTGAAACAATATTTCAAATGTCAGATCTTTGCTAATTTTAAGTAAATACACTTTAATCTCTCAATGACAGCAGAGAAATAAAATTATAAATGAAAAATGGGGAAGAAAAAGCATTAATGTGACTTTGTAGCGAGGTAAAGTGTTATGGTTTTGCATAACGGTAGTGATCATACTGACATAAGTGTACGTAACAGTTGTTTCAATACTGTTTTCGTACCAGGCTTTGACACGCAATAGTTGGAGTACTTACCATCTGAAAGTGAAATGTAACTGCATTCATAGAAGTATTCTGACATAGACGAGATGTAACGTAGACATGTCTTATGAGACATCGTGTCACATGAACTAAGAAACACCTGGAACTTTGTTATGCTTTCCAAAATTTAAAATGATAAATTTAATAATACGATTTAATTTCTAATAAGCGATAAATGTAAATACGTTGTCAAATGCTCAAGAGCAGTTATATCATGTCTGTAGAATGCAATATCTGCTACTGAAAAGAATTTGTATCTTTATATGATTATATCTTGATAAGAGTAATTAGTTCTATTTTAACAATTGCGGAGCCAACGGCGGATCTTTTTAAATCCAAGCATACATAGAGCGGGTCTTGTGACTCACAACAGGTGTACTATCACTACACACTGTTCCAGTACGTATGATAGTAGCAAAAAGTGAAAAGAACAGGCGTTTACAAAATTTCTGACAATGTCAAGCGAGTTCTGCGAGAAAATATATAAGCGAGTACCTAGATCTAAAAAGACCCTCTAATGGTCAGACTGTTAAAGACGCGCTAAGCATGTATTAATGATTCACGTTAAGATGAAAAACTATCAATACTGTTAGATTTACTCGTTTATTAAATAATTATTAAACAATAGTCTGTAGTTAAAGTAGAAGTACAAAATTTTCTTTGTCATTTAAAGTAGATTGTACTTACACGGGGTTTCATTCAAGAAGTGAGTACGCCTTAATAACGTGCGTGTTAACAAATATAAGTTAATAAGTAAACAAGTCCCATGCCTACAAGCTACTTTAAATTTTACAATAATTTTTCCTAAATGTTAATATGAATCGTCATGTTTAATATTATGATTCATATGATATTCATTAATAAACGATATAGAATGACGCGGTAAAGGTCGTTAACAGGACTGAAACTAGCGTATAAAATTCTCACCTAAAGATTCATTGTAGAATGGTTGAGGTTTCTACACGTGTTTAAAGATTAAACAGAATCAGAAACAGTATTCTCGTTGGTAATATTTTGAATACCGAAACTTTCGTAATGGAGGGTGCTTAATTCTCTAAAATTTCTCGCATTAGAAAAACAAAGGAACATATATTTAATAAATAAGTAACTAAATCAAATTTTGGCTTTACCAACAATCTGTACCTTGGAATAAGCTCTTTTGCAGCCATTACCAAAAAGTAGTAAGCTTTGTTCAATTTCGTTTATTTGATCTAATGTAAGAATTAAATTACTAGCTGCTGCTGCCTCTGTTATGCAAATTTGTAATGTTTCTTTATTTAATGGTTGAAAAGGAACAATTAAATAAACAATTTCTTTATTGGCCAGTGCTTCATGAATTGTATTTGCACTTTGAATTAAATCTACCTTTCTCTCTAAATTAGTGTTTACTTCCTCTGCATTAAAAATTCCTATTACGGTAATGCATTTATCTTTTTTTTTAGTTAATTCATTTATTACATTAGAGAAGGTATCCAAATCTTTCATTTTTAAATTTTCCATAATAATTAACTGATATGAATCAACTGAATTTAACGTGTTTATATCTGTAACATGGTCTATATACATATCATAGATCAAAATGTCTTTCTGCAAAGAAAAATGTTGCGCTATAATTTGTGCAGTATAAGATTTTCCAACGCCTGTTCCACCTATTAGACATAAAACTTTTAAATAGAAAGTATCTTCACTTAAATACTTAATAATGTGTGAAACTGCATTTTCTTGTCCATGTATCTTTTTCTGTAATTCTTGACTTGCATTTAAGAATAATGTTGTGCGGTTACAAACTCTAGCTATATCACAGCTGCAAAACATTGCAATTATTACTGCAACTATTGGTAATATAAACAAACTTAAGCAACTACAATAACACATATTCCGTTTCTTTTTTGGTAAAGTTTTGCTCTTTATTACCAGTGGTCTAAATTTGTTTTTTATATTTTGATATGTTTTACTGTTTATACTTTTTGTAGCATCTTTTATCTTTGCTTCATTATTTGCTTCCTCGTAATTTCTAAATTGCGCAGAAGAAGAATGATCAATTTCATTTTTTGTATCTGTATGTGTTATAGAGCAATTTGATGAAAAGTTTGATTCGTTTGTAGCATTTGTATTTTCAACTTCATTGGATAATATTTCATTTGATATTTTGTTTGATATAAATTTTGGTGCTTGTAAAATATGACTACTTTTACAGGATTGTCTCTTAAAAGAATTAAATGTTGTTAAGTCTGCTGCTGTCCGATACTGATTACAAGTTGTATTATCATCTTCTATCAACTTTTCTATTTGTCTGCAATTAAAAAAAAAAGGATGAATCATTCTTGTCACTTTATCATCGAATATAGACACTACAAATTTCTACCTTGTGTTTGCATGTTCATCGAAAATTTTTTCATAACTACTTTGTCTAATCAAGTCAGTTTGAGTTTTCGACTGGTAGATTTGTGTTACGCAAATTTCATGAGATGATGGCGTTTCAGAATAATTAAGAACTTTGGTTAATTTCCAATCCTTATTACAATCTAATAATTTTAATGCTGCGAAATGTTTTTCCATTCCAATTTTCAGAAATCACTGGGCGTCTTATCTGAATTCAAATGACGTCAGATATATATAGCATTCAGCAACGAAACGAAACATAACCTCAACAACACTTTGTTTCTTTTTTTAATTTTTGTATTAATAGTTTTATGAAATTTTAATTTCGGAGCATGTATTTCAAAATATCTTTTATAATAACGTTACCTTCAAACTTATAATCTAATAAAAACTTTAAAATACTTATATCTAATTTTAATTTATAGTATGTATGCAATCAAAATCACTGTTACAATTTCAAATGTCGCTTAAAATGAAAGAGAAAAAGTAATTAATATTCATACAATGTCTTTTCGTTTTAACTATCTATTACGTTAATTACTAACTGTTATTATAAAAACTAGTCATTTGAAAACTATAATTTTCGATAAAATTGTATTTACTGCACATTGAGTTACCAAAAACTAGAACAATTTGGTTTAATATAAATGATGTAAATAATACATGTATTTATGCATATGTCTATTATATTTATTACAATAATAGAACAATAATAACTACGCATAAAAATATTTTGAAAAATTGCGCGTAGTCCAATTCATCCGTTCCGTCTAACCAAGATCACATTCCTACTGTCCAAGCTCAGTTTCTGCTCGTGTATCGATGAGCAGAGATTGTGTGTTTTAGATATGATTACATTTTGTATTTTCGTGATGTGACATTTCTCTAGTGAAAAATAGTAAAAATGCAATCGATACAATTAGTGATACGATGTCTTTGGACTATGTCAATATTCTTATTAGCAGCGGGTAGAATTCACAAACTTGAAATACGGGTTAGTTCAAAGAATCTTGACTACTAACGCGTGTATATTTACCGATTATTTTACTAGAATTCTTTCGTTACGTCAATCACAATCTAATCAATTATCGAAGTTAAGCGTGTAATATATACATTAAACATAATAATTATTACTCTAAGAAAAAGCATTAAATGAATTACATAAATGAATAGTATATTGTAATACCGTATCGACAATTATGTACAAAGTTATTCTTATGTAAACGATTGCAAATATAATAAAGAGTACGAAGCTTTCTCGTTAAAAGTTTGCTAACAAAAATTACGGTATATAATTAATAGGTTTACTGTATAAATTATTGTCTTTGCAGAGAATTTTGTTCCTCGTCGTTTAGTTATAGGTTACGGAACTTCCGTACACTGTGCTTATGGATGTTGTATGTTACAGAAAGATGTAAGGCGATATATTGCTCTTAGTACCTTCGGTTTCTACAAAAAAGGCACTCTCGATGTAAACCTGATTAATTTCAAGGCTGAGCCTTTTGACGAAAATTCCGTGGTGAGTAATAGTAACATGAATGTGTTCACATAAGGTTACGCGTCGTCCATTCACAGACACCTGTTTCTATTTTTCGTCATTCATCTTGCTAAGTAACCTTTAGAAAAATATGTGCTCCAAATCATTTTCGAACACTTATCGCCAAGATGTATTATCATATCGAAATCAGCATTTTGACGAATACGTACTTGACGATGTTCCAGTATCTTATTACAATTTTTGGAATTCCATAGAAATTTTTTTTTTTGTAAAAAAAAAAAAATATTTTTAAAACAACGCTAACGTGTTCATACGCCGTTAACGTATAAAAATTGACGGTTTCAATGAAATAGTTAATATTAAATTGTTACGTTATAAAATAGTCGAACAACGGTT